GCGACATAGTCTCCTCCGTCCAAGTAAGTCTTGGAGATACTCCTGATGGCGCTGGCCCACGCTGCCTGTGCTCGCTTCACATCCTGTTCCGATATCTTCGTGACTGCGGAGTGTTGCTGTTCCGATATCTTTGCGACTGGCGAGTGTTGCACGACTGGTTCCGCAGGTGCTGCGGCAACGGAGGCGCAAGGCAGATACTTCTGCATTGCTCTAGCCTTTCAGGTGCGATGTCGCTGAAACTTGAACCTTTGTGGCTTTTGAAACAAACAAACAGAGGCCAATCGGCAATACGAGAGCGAGAGCCTGGTACAACTCGATACGGTATCATATAAGTGGCACTCCTTGTCCATTCTCTAATGCCATGTCGTCATGACAGCTCTTAGGCGGCCCGGGGTGGTTGCCTTCCGCATGGCCAGCAAGTGACGAAGCTGCTCTGCACCTCGATACTGACACGCGAGATGGCTGCATTCCGCTTCGCCTGTTTCACTTACGGAGACCAGCCGAATCTCTTCGTACGATCGTTTTGTAAAGTATAGCTTACTATACTCACTCTGCCATGCTATCGCGTGTGAACATACATACATACATACATACATACATACATACATAAATAAATACATACATCAACGAATAACCCTAATTAGCCTCGATGCTCCTCGCGGGCGGCAAGCATTGATAGGGTTCTGTTCGCCCCGACACGCAGACTTTGCCAGAACTTCATGTTTCGAAATGGAGTGGGATCAAGGTAGAGAATTACCGCACAAACACGTTCCTCGGTGTTGAAACGGATTGGCCTCGGCGAAAACCGGTCTGCGCCCTAACCAGAAAATCCTGAACTAACAGATGGCCTCAGCCCCTACAGCGGCAATTCTTGCTAGCACGATGACACGTGCTTCGTGCAACTGTGTCTTCTGGGCTTAGTTAGTTCCCTTGGCGTGACATTCGGCGTTATGAAAACACGAAGGACAGTGCAAGCATGATTACTGATCTTTGCATTTCAGGAATGTTGGGAGGGAACAACTGCACTCTAGCGCTTGCTATTGCACGGGGAGGTGTCCATCACCTGAGGTGCTGTAGAAAAGAATGCCCTGAAAAAGACAGAGGCCTCACCTCAGCTGTGTTAAGAGCTCTTTGGTGTGCGTTGGTGTTTCATCGAATGCGCAACAGAATTTCTCTTCAGCCTCTCCAGTTCCATAAGCTTCAAGATCTGGGACATGGACCACGCGAGAATCATGGACAGGTTGCAAACATAGCGCTTCTAGTCAAAACTATTCTTAATAACGACATGATACACAGTACAGCTGCACAACTATGGCTGTAGCTGCTTGCAACGCGCAACCCCGACAAACACACAGAACTGACCCTCTGGACGCTGTCAGTTTTAGACTGGAAGCCTGTCGAACGAGTCACTCGACAGGGCTTCAGCCGCTGAGACGCGGCTTTTTGGATCCAGCCTCACCATTGCCTTGAAGAGCATCACGGCACTGTCATCCGCTCCAGGGAACTTCAAGCCACCACTGCCTGCGCACTTGTCGAAGCAGCGAATATGACTGCGCGCTTGCCCGCTCCAGGCCATCAACATACGCTGCCTCGGGCGTCGCCAAAATGTCGCAGATTAAGCTCACTTGGTCCTGTTGCTCGGGGGCATCGTTTGCCCGAGGCGACAACCCCTCTCCCTCGTTTGGAGAAAACGGGAAGCGCGAAGATCCGACGAAAAGTGGCTGTCGTTCCTTTAGTGGCACGCCTTCGCGTATCGCCAGGATCTCTGCAAGAATACACCCGACAGACCCCAGGTCAATGGTCTTTGTGTACCGCAAGCCCAGGATCAGTTCGGGGGCCCTCCAATATCTGGTCACGACATGGTCAGTGAGCTGTTTGTCCAAGCGCTTCGGGTCCCTCCGACTCAAGCCGGGCTTCAAGTCACGATGCCAGATTCCTGCAGAGTCGATGTAAACCCCACATAGCAAACTGTACGTCAATTTCGCCGACAGCATCAAATCGATGCAGAAAAGCCTAGTGAGATCAGAATCGCAAACCTCCATTACAATACAAATGTCTAACACCTTTCTGTGCTGGTGACGATTTCCAGAACCTTCACCTCGCTGTCGTCTTTCAACTCTCGCAAAATAGCGAGCTCACAGAGAGCTCGGTTGGCATCCTCCGGGCGCCAATTGCAGACATCCGCCAATCTTTTTGATGGCAACCTGGTTGCGGGTCCGTGTGTCCAGCGCCTTGTAAACGCTGCCGTAGGATCCTTCACCAAGGAGTTCACCCAGCACGTAGTTTCGGAGCTCCTCGCGCTCATCGTCTGGACGTGCCGGCATCTCCTGGGCATCCTGCGCCTGCGCCGTCTCTGGTCGGACGTTCCGAACGCGGTACTTCCGCAGCCTAGTCTTCATGAGCAACGGCATGCTCACTGCCTCAAAGTCTGATGCCTCGAGTTCCAAAAGGTGATCGGTGCGGATGACGCCTTCCTTCCTCAACGCTTGAACCTCACCTGTCTCGCCACTAGAGCCATGGATCTTCCTCTTCTTCGCCGCACTCTCCTCTTGCAACCTCTGGGGCTCCACCTGCGGCGCGAACCGACATGATGACCCCGAATTTGGAAGGGGTACGGGGGTATCGGTCTGCAGGTCCTTTCTAGGCCGGTCATCTGGCACTCCAAACAGTGGCTCTGAAAAATGGGCAACGGCATTATGCCAGCGTAGACCCTGAACAGCGAAGAACCAAAGACCCCACACCCCGCACCACTTGGGGACCCCCATCAGGCCTTGCGCAGACGTATAAAACTGAGCGACTGCAACCGTCTGACCAGTCGTGATCAGATCATCGCTCTCAGTGGGATTGTACACTTGTAAATCGAACGCCGGTTGGAACCTTGGCACAGGATCGAGCGGGGATAGTAATGCAATCGATGGACTGCAGGGCATGACCACAAAATCCATTTCGGGAACAAGCGGTTTTCAGCTCAGCAGGTGCTGCACATTCATCGTATGACACCTTAACCTTTGTCTTGGCAGTGTTGAAGACGGTCGTACCAGTCCACCGACATGGCAAGGTACGCGAATCCTTCGCTCGCCAATCGTCTTGCAACGTAAACTCAGTGCCGTCGGTCATCGCACTCGTGATACGGGCATCCGATAATAGGGAAGGGTGTACAGGACATCCTTTCACAGACGTAGGGTCAATTCTCGCACGCAGTTCCGTGACATGGAATCGAGTCACAGTTCCAGCGGCTGAGTGATGATGCCAGTAATCACTGTCCTCTCGGCACGCCGACGAATCGTAGGAAAAATCGTACTCTATATCAACCGGTGCAGCATCCCTGGAATTCTCCTCGACCCATAGAGCGAAGCTCAGCCTCATGTATTTCAGCCTCAACATATCCCTCTCGTTCGGCCTGGCTCATACCTCTCCAAGAATCTGAATCAATCGAGTTTGGTTTCTTGGACCCTCGATACCGCCGTTCGACCCTTGGTCCGGGCTGTTCATAGGGTAGACCATCCCTACCACCAAGGATCTTCGAGTCCGGATATGATGAGCTGCAGGGTGTGGCAGGTGCGTGTCCATCATCATAAACTTCGACAGTTCCGGTCCAAAGCTGCGTCGCATCTTACCGAAAGCATAGCTTTCCTCCCGAATAGTGACGGGACTGATTCCGGCATGTTGAACTCGAGATACAGTACGAGCCGTGGACAATTTCCAAGGATCGGGGTCCTATTCCTACGGCTCCAGGAGTCTTCCCTGGATGTATCATGAATCATGGCCTTTCGCGGAACAATCACGTGATAAATCCATTGGCGTTCATAAATCATATCAATCTTCCACCCCCATTAATCGGCTCCTCCACTGTGGGAAGATTCCGCACGAGCCGCGGACTCTCGCGCGATAGCGAGCTCTTCTTCTTACATCTCTGAGTCTCTCTGCGGCGTCGAACTGGAATAGATCCTTTTCATCGTCGACGCCAGGCTCGTGAAACAAATCATTCCCTTACTTCGCCGTGCCCTTGAACATCGCAGGGTCATCAACGTAGATGGTGCGGGATCGTTTATCGTAGACCACACGCATCGGAAATGGCCATTGTTCCTTAGGAGAGCAGTAAATTCGTTTGACCTGATGGACACTGGCTCGCAAAGCATTGCGCTTGAAGTCCTCAAGATCGGCAACAATATAGTCACCGTTTCATTCCCCCCCAATCTCAAAGTGGCAACCGAGGAAAATGCCAGGTTTGCTGGTAGGAGAGAACTTGCCGACCCGCTGGTATGAAGGCAACTTGCCTGAACCATCGACGATGATATCAACACCTTCTCATTTTCTCATCCCCGTCTTCAATTCATTCATCGAGATCCGGGACTCCATCAGGGAAATCGACCGATTCTGCATCATCTTCAATGTCGGCAGGCGTCGCATATTCTTCCCCCGAGAATCGCTTCATCGCTGGAACTTCGTCGAGTTTCTTTCGGGATGGCAGAGGGAAGAGACCGATCAGACATCCGTACGGAAGGTGCTGTCCATCACATTTGAACTCACCGTATCTGCGCTGGAAGGCGGATTCACCGGCATTTATCTCGATGCTTCGAGCCAAGCAGAAATGTCTGCAGCCTGCGTATGGCCAGAACTTCGCCTCCAGGCCCGCCTGTCGAAGCGCAACTCGCGCTCCATGAAGCACAAGCTTGACCTTACTTTCTGCTACTGCATTTGTTCGTGGCATACCAGGCGTCGAGCGCATCACTGGGATGCCGACTTTCTTGCACACCGAGATAAACTCACGGGCTTTATCGCAATACACCTCACGTATCTGAGACGGCGCGTATCTTCTTTCCACGTCCATAGAGAACGTATTGACATCGCGTAGTTCTCCAAAGACCTGTTCAAAATCACGTAATGTCTCAGTGTTGGTGCGACTCTTCACCGGCACTGACTCCAACCAACCGGTCGCCAAATCATAGAAGACTACTGCATCAGTCTCCCCATGATTTCCTCTGTTGCCCAGGCCGTGAAGAACCATCGTATCGATGGTAACATGATCACCACCAAATTTCTCAAACTCCTTATCGCAGGGCGAATCCTGGCGATGTGACTTAATGTTTTCCGTCTTCGCACGTTGACATGCATCGCAATATGGGTCCTTGGGCAAGCGCGTCATCACGTGTCGAACTGAAGAGGCCTCGGATTTCAGATCCCGTTTGATTCCGGAATATCGGCCGGACGTTCGACTGAAAGAGGCTTCTGTGGCGGATCAGATGACGACCCAGCCGCGGGAGCTTCATCGTCCTCCTTATCATCGGGCAATTCACCGGCAGCTACTACCTTTTCGTGCACTATTATCGGTGCGGGGAGCGCCGGGTAAATGCGCGGAAGATCAGTCCGCCCAGCAACAATCTCAGTTTCACTGGGAACAAGGTAAGGAATGTTGTTTATCACTTCTACTGCAATTCTCCTTCCATCGGGATCGAAGAACTTCGGATGTGTGAACGGTTCCCACACGAATCGGTATCCGAGCTCCATACATCGCTTACCCAGCGAAAGCAGACTGGGAGTGCTATCAAGCACGTACGCCTCAATGAGCTTGTCAAGGCCTTTAGTTAACGCGCATATGGGCTGGGCCACGAGTAAGCGTAAGCTCAAGAACACCAGCATCGTTCCCAAGTGCTTTGGCATCATTTTCGTCCAAAAGAAGTACGTTGCTCCCTCCATATGACGGCCTTCATGTGTGCTCTTCTCCGTTCGCGAGAACTCGTTAAGCTACGGATATCTTCCGGCCACGAATAGTTTCAAGTTCCGCTCGCGAATGACAGGTCCGAAGGCTGGGTCGGGGAAGGATGATGTAATCACCCCAAATGATACCGACTTCCGTAATGAAGATGGACATGCCAACTCAACCGATGCTGTACAAGCGACAGCGAAGTTCTCGGGAGAATGTGCATTATCTGCCTTAGGGTTGCGGCACGCCCCTCTCAAAAACCCGAAAGGATTAGCGCCAGACTGTCGACCCGGCGACCAGTATGAGGCTCAGACGCAGCAGGAGCCGCAACAGAGGTGCTCTCAGCAGGAGCACTGCGCTTGACGGGCTTGTACGGACATTTATTGCCCCGCGTACAAGCACCTTTAGCAAATCAAAAGCATTCCCCAGACTCCTTAGAAATCGGTGACTTGGATCGTGGAGGAAAGCTCTTCGGCGATGCGCTTCGACCCTTCAAATTATGAGAGAATTTGCGTCCGGATCCTCGCGAGCATCGACCATGCTTGAAAGCGAGGCAGGTCCGACTGCCGCGAGGGGAACGTGATGGAGATCGGCGAGTAGGGGCAGGAGCAGCCCTGCCAGGGCTTGTAGACCCCCGTCTAGGGGACCCACGCATCGGGGACTCGGTGATCCTGAAAGTGGGGAAGGCTTTCGAAACAGACTGCCTCTTCTCGAGCCATGTCTATCGGCGCTGAAAGATCGTCGGCCATGGCGAGACCCAGCGCGGGGCGGACTCCAATGTGCTGGAGCGGCATCGCGTCGTCTCTTAAGATCGAGTATACCCGAGTACATCTTCTCTTGATTGCGCCTTCTGCGCCACGTAGTAAGACGAAGGTATGCATAGTTGCGCACGGATGCCTCGCGATCCCAAAGCTGCATATCAAGCTTAAGGCAGTGCAATTCTCTAACTTGCTCGTAAAACAGAGCGCACAACATACCATCACCAGGTTGATCGACTGAGATGCCGGCAAGAACATGGTCCCACCCATCGGTGAAGGCCTCAAGTCTCTCCTCCTTGACCCCATATCTGAATCAGTCGAGGCCGACCTTCGCGAGATCAATAATCTTAAACGTGGAATCCCCAGCAAGGTGTGGCCTCAGCAAGTTGTAGAGGAGCCACAAAATCTGGCGACTGCCGAGCCTCCTGCCAATCGTGTGCATTCGCTCAGTTTCAGTATTCTTGAATGCGATCGACTTGATGCATTCTCTGAAGGCGGAGTTGCATTCATTTTCGAGCATCCCGTATTTATATACACTCTTCAGTGAGATCCTCATACTTGGTTCCATCCTGAATCTCAACCCATGAAAGAGCATAACCCGGATCATATGCGAAAGCATTGGCAACACGCTTTTTTATTTCGACAATCCACCTTCTGAGCTGAGCAGGCTCGGGCTCAGGCTCAAGTCGAAATGACTTGCACTTCGCCTTCCTTGCATCACTGAGCGACCCGTCGCCTTTACGAGCCCCAATCCCGGGATCGCTGGGATTCGGAGGGGCCCCAGCGGCGAACTCGAGGCATACGACACAGATGCGCATCAGATCGCGACAGCATTCGTTGCAACAACTCAATTTGCATGCGACGCAAGTTCTGTGCACACGGGTGGGGAAGCTTCCTAAACATCGCTCGCACTGTGGAAGGCTTCAGGTCTTCCACTTGGGCGAATCGAGGGAGGATCGAGACCTCCATCGGGAGCCGATTGGGTCTCCGCGTGTCCCCTCGACTGTCGGCTCTTCACTAGTGACGCCAGTTGTGCGGGATAGTGCGGAGCCCGATGATAGTAATAGTACTCCTGCAGCCCGCCTCGCCACGCCTGCCATGCCTGCCAGCTTTGCCGCTGCCTCGCCGCCGCATGCCACGCCTGCCGAGGTCGATCAGAGCGCTCTGCCGCCGCAAGTGCCGCCTATGCCTTGCGCCGCCGCGATGACTGGCAACGCGCACCATGCAGCTGCATGCTTTTGCTGCCGATCGTGTTTTGCCTGCATTGCCGTGCTTCTCTGCGAGTGCCGCTGCTACTGCACCCGCCTCGCGATTACGCCCACCCTGACCGAAATTTATCAGTCGTGCCCTATTTGCCTTAGGGGAAATTTGGAGGGCGCCCGTGCACGGGCAAGGTGGTGACTGGGGCCATCCGATTGTGGTACCTGCAGAAGGGCCATTGTTTTGTCAGCGTGGCCGTGGCTCCGTTGTCCCGATTGTGGCACCGAGCCCGGCCCTCGCCACCCCGGCTGCCGATTGGAGCCGTGGGTTGGCAAGCGACGATCCCTTGATGCGGGACGTGATCGGTGCTGAAGCCGCTCAGCGCATTGCCGTCGATTTGCAGGCAATCACGCAGGGAATGCTCAGCACGCGAGCTGACCGACCTCGACGCTTCAGAGAAGGAGTCGCTGATCCTGCTGAAGGGTTTGATAGTAAGATCGATGGTCTCCGCGAGCGATTTATAACGGAGACCGATCGCATCTTCGATGAGAACCGCCGGAAATAGGAACTTGCGTCAGATCAAACGAGACTCGAGCTGGGTCGATCAGTGCTAAGCTCCATCGGACTATTAGCCACCTTCAACAGTTTCCCTATAGCCTCCAACAACTGTATCTTGGCATGTCCAACTGGGAGGTTCGTATCAGCACTGTGGAACAGAATTTGAATAATCGCATCGAAGCTATTCGAGTCGAGCTGTGCCGACCTCTTCACGATCATAAGACGAAGACCGACGCATTCATTGATGACCTCGCAGCGAGAGTTCTCAATCTCGAAACTGCTCAGGCTCATCGAAGGGATATGACTGAGCGAGCGATCGATGAAATTCGCCGTGAAGTCAGATCTCACCGATCTGAGAGGTCTACGCTTGAGGCTTCAAGCCCGGGCTGATTAGACCGTGTGATGACAGGCGATATAGTCTATAGTCAAAGTCCTCACACCGATGATTCCATGCGGCTGGAGTACACCAAGGGCGCCATGATGATTACCATGGGTCTTGAAACCTGAAAGGCGCAGCAACCACTCAGTCTCCCTCCCCCAGCACTGCTGCACGGAGTCTCAGAAGCATGATTTCGGTCAAGATGCTGACGGCGCAACATGTCGTCGTGCTGATCAAGAAAGAAGCTAAACAAACCTGGACTCATAGCTGGCACTGGGCACACCTCCTTCAAAAAAATCTGCTCAGTGGGCTCAGCTTGTGACCCAGAAAGCTCGAGAGGCGATGCCACAAAACCAAACTAGACAGCAGGGCGAATGTGAGGAGAGCTTGAAAGACTGAAAGGACCTCTGAGGTTCCAGCATGCACTCACACTGGCACGCAGGCACATGCTCAGACTCTTCAGTTTCCACGTCAACTTGGGTCGGGGAATCCGGCTCCATGCTTGATCCACTGGCAGCGGTAGCAAGGCAAAGCTTCCAACTGACATGATCACATGTTGGCCGAAAGCTTCCGAAAACAAACCGTACCAAAACTTGAAGACCCACGACACCGGCTTTGAGAAGAACCTCCTTAGCTTCAGACATCAAACATCAGATCCGTCCGGCTTTGCTAGCTTCCTCACAGCAGGTACAAGCGAAGCACGAGCACCCGACCCACTCGTGCAAAAAGCTGCTGGATCATTGTTGCCTGGGTAAGGCACGCGCTGTACATATCCTTCCTAGTTCTAGCTGCGCGCGGTGCATCTCCATGCATCTCCACAGGATGAAGCGAAGGCTGCACAAATTGCCGGGTCAAGCTGCAACCCGGTCTCCGGCCTGCGCCGCTCACTGAAGCTGCTCGCCAGAGACTGCGCGGTTTCGAATGTCACCAAGCAGCAGATGGGCTTCAAACACTCATCGCAGGAACAAACTAAACAGGACAGGAGCTTGGCAAACCTTAATCCCCATAGTTAGCAGTAGGGGTAGTGGCAGTGGCGGTAGTTGTCCCGGTAGTGGCAGTGGTAATAGTAGCATTAACGGTAGCGGTAGTGATAGCGGCACTGGTCCTGGTCGTGGTCGTGGTTGTCGGCAAGACAGTCATGCTAAGTACAATACCACAAACGCGGCCTCCGACGCTTTTGGCCAAGATGGTATATGTGTTCCGAAGAATGCCTTCTAGTGCGATTAAGGCGTAGGTAGCCTTCCCAGCGCGAGGCCCAACGATTTGGGATGATTTGGGCTGGGACCCTCAAACAGGAGCCTGCTAGTCAGGCCACCGTCAGAGAGTCATCCCAAAATCTCAACTACGGGCAACGCCATTGCTGTACAACAGTTGTACAACCACGCTAACCTCCCTCGTCAAGCCCTCATGTGTCGTGAGAAGCAGTGCGGCTACTAAGCTTCTTCCTTCTGATCTACCTGAAAGTGACACGCAGCGTGGGACACAGCCCATCCAAGCCATCACAAGTCAGTTTACCTCCCCCCTTGACGAAGAGAACTTTCGTCGAC